CTATTTTTCACAAGTATGAGAACCTATCTGCAAAATTCTTTTTCCAAACAGTTTGTTTTTAGTATTAAAAACATTTTACAAAGTTTCGTAATTTTCAGAGGTCAAATAAATATTTTACAAATATTTTAAAGTGAGTCAAAATCAGTTTTTTGGAATGTATCAGAATGTGGTCGACCGCACCGGTTGATCGTACCTGTGTTCATTCGTTAGTGGGCAGCAGAGAGTTTGTCGGTCGACCGGTGCGGTCGACCGAGAGCTTGAAATTTTCATCGGTCGACCGCACCGGTCGACCGAAGAAGTCTCTGCTCGATTCTCAGTTTCGGATCTGGATCGCGGTCGACCGTAAGTTTTTTTGGTCGACCGCCAAGGTTTTCAAACGGTAATTTTTTCGGTGCCGCTCAGTATAGATCTCAGCGACGTTTGGTTCCAGATTTTGGGGGATTAAGGGATGGGTTTAAACAACTGTTTTTCTCCTATTTAAACTCAACCTCTTCTTCTTCCTCAGTGTCCCAGCTTTTGCAAAAACCAGAGACGTTGTTTTCACTGAGCAAAATTTTTAAACCTGTTCTTTCTATGTTTTTGTGTGTTCACTTCCCAGCTTGAGTGTGCTCTTTCTCTTTGCCATAGGGACGTTGTAAAGAGAGAGTCTTACACCATTTCTACTATCTTGTGAGTGTGATCTTGTGTAGATCAATTGTGTGGGAGTGATCTAGTGAGATCAACTGTGTAGTGTGAGATCGTGAGGGGATCGTTGTGTAGACGAAGTTCCGGCTTCCAAACCGGGCTGTGTAGTGGATTTCTTCTCGAGAGTGGGGAGCGGGGACGTAGATCAGCGGACCGAACCTCGTTAACATATCGCGCGTCACAGGATAACGATTCCTAACCCTATCTCCTCTATTTTGATTGCATTAGAATACCGTGGTTTGCTTGTCTTAATTTTATTACATAATTATAGCCTCTTGACCCTAATCACCCCCCTCTAGGGTCCAACATATACGTTGTCAGTGGCCACAGAAAGCAATGTTGAACTCACCTGTATACTGAAACAACAGCATCATCTCCTATGGTAACTACACGGTAGTAATGCTGATTTGACAGCCCAGCAATAAAAGTAGCTGAATTCAATACTAGAATAGCCTTAGAGAGCTTTCACTAAAATCATCTTTCATAACAATGAGAGCACTGATAACGACGGGGGAAAATCCATATATAAGGAATATCTTGAAAAGCTCATGTAGCATGGAGTTAAAGGATCTGTGTTTGCTTCTAACAGAGGATATCTTGAAAATATCACTTTAATAATACATCTTAGAAGACGACACTCAGTTTATAAACTTCATTAGTCATTAGTAATTCATCATTAAAAGGGAGAATAATGTACTTCCCCATTTGAAAAATCGACACGTAATGGGTAAGGTTAGGCTGCATTTCAAATAAAAGACGATTTCTATAGAAAGTTTAACAAAGTAAAGACAGCCAACACTGTATCAATGATACCATCCATGGTTCTCATGGCAGCCTAAAACCAAAAAAGGAAAATGGTGAAAACATCAGTAGTAAATAACTATGCCAACATTTTATATTGAGTGAAGTTTGCCATTACTGCTTAGATATGCAACAAGTGTACATATATCACTCAGAAAGGCATAATAACATGCCATGTCTTTATCATATAGATCATGGACAACAATGCATCATATGTCTTGACCAGATAGATCACAAATCTGATAACTAATGTGAGTCTTAGCATGCAAATGGGGAAAGAAAGCAGTGAAGCCTAATACAAAGTTTATTTTAAGAAATAATTAGAGAAGATACTTAGTTCTCTCTCTTGGATGTTATTTATAATATTATAAATGATAGGTTTAATTAAAATTACAATCCTCGTTCAAATAGCATGAAGGCTATACAAACATTTAATACACTGGAGGTCAGTAATAAAAGCTAATACACTGGAGGTCAGTAATAAAAGCAAGGCTACATTTTTCTTGAAGAGGCTAGAACACGGGCTAGGGCATTGCTACAATTGACACCAGAACAGCACAATTTCTACCAAAAAACTCAACAAAATCAAATCTTTTTACCTCAAGACAAACAAAAATCGAAGCTTTTAAGAAAAACAAAACAAAACAAAATAAACTAGGGCAATTACCGTTCCATCGAGAAGCAGGAGTGGACTCAAGCACCGCCTCAAGATCATCATTCTGAGTTCAAACCCTCGCCCTAACCCTCGAAATCGGAGGGAACCGGCTGCCCCCTCCCCACGAGCACATTGCGGCCGCTTCCCATACTCTGTAGCGCTCAGCCAACTCTCCCGCCGCCGACGATGACTGCCGGCACCACCGCCTCGCTCGCCATCGATCTAACCTTCGCCCTAACCCTAGTTCTAGAGATTGAGGAGGGAGAGTGTCAGAAGAAGAGAGCGGCGGCGGTGGCGAGAGTGGAATCAAAGCTCGGAGAGACGAATCGCAGAGAGAGGTTTGGGTTTGGGTTTGGATTCTTTTTACTATTTTGATTAAATACTCCTATTATGATTAGGGGACCTATTAATGAAGGTAAAATACTCCTTCGCCTTTTAAGAGACCCAATAACGACGGTATTAGAATCAAATCAACAAAGTGATTAGAAAACCGTTATCCCATCTCACATGATTTCTCTAATAATTGTAATAACTCGATGAAGGGCTTTAAAACCGTCGTTATTTTACACACATTAATGATGGTTAACTGGTCCCTTCGTTAATTTTGGTCGTTAAATACTCGATTTCTTGTAGTGATGGTTGAAGGATCATGTTTAAGAGAAAATGTGGAAAGTAAATTTAATTAGTTACCTTGGGAATTGGAAAGGTCATTTAGTTATTTGAGGTCTCACATGCATAAAAATTTTAGATGAAAATTTTTCCAAGAACCCAAAATATGGGATCAACAGGGAAGACAGGTGAGGTGTCCCCCTCCTATTACATAATGAGCTGGACATCATCAATGATGATCAACTCATTATGCAATAGGAGGGGGACACCACACCTATCCCCCTTGTTGGTCCTATATTTTGGGTCCCAGTAGCAAAGCTCATTTTAGATATATGAATATCGTCAGGAAGTTCAAGAGTCTTTATTAGGAAGTCTAAAAGTCATTATAATGGTATAATGATATATGTGTGTGTGGGTGTGTGTTTTGTAAGTTAAAATATACAAAGAAAAATCAAAGAATACTTTATCATCCTTTAAATAATTTATCCTTGGCAAAATATTGTTGTCAATTTTTATATCCGTATAATCAGGAGTAGATTCGTCTTAAGCAAAGTGGTGCTGTTGCACCACGCTTTGCTCGAGGATCCCAACCCCAACCCCACTAAGGATCCTCCATGTAGTCACTCATGTTCACCTTGAACCGATATGGTTCCATATTTTTCTCGGTGACGTACATTCGAAAATTAAATAAGTGATGATTGGCTCAATAGTTGTAGTGGCATATATTAAAAAAGAATATCTGGTAATTTTACTAATGATGTATTCAAATAATTTTTTCAAAATATGAAAATTCACTGGAGGACACAGAAGTTTTCATCATTACCTGACTTGTTTTGTTCTCCATCAAATTAACACTTATTTCCTCGTAAAAAGAGCTAGTACTAATGCAAAAGAGAATTCCTTCTTGGAATCCCTGACTATAGCGTGTCTTTGTCTGTGATCTCTCTATCACTCACATGCTTTACCAAACTTCCATCACCTTCTTATATAAATAAATATTTTTCATTTTCAGAGCCAGAAACTCAATATTGGCCGGATGAAGACGCAGCGATCACTCCCCGCCTACTGAGCTGAGATATCTGACTATGCCCTCGTTTTTTTTTTGGGTTGTTAATTAGCTTTGAGAAATCAGAAGTCAGATCCAATTGCATGTTGTCAGCTTGTTGCGTCAACCCCACGCCATACCTACCGATTGTCAATGAATAGACGCTTTAGTTGTCACTTGTGGTTCTGGATACTTCTATAAGTGACTGTATCATTCTAATCATCACAAGTCCCATTCGACACTGATGCGTTTGTGTATATTATCAGCTGTGACAGCTTCCCCCTTCAAAATAAACCAACCAAACGGGCCCTTAGAGCTGCAACCAGATCAAAAGCTTAAATTTTAAAGAGAAAAAGAGCGCACAAGATAAAAATGGCCGCAGTCAAAACTGGAGTTTTGTTTCATCAAAATTTAATCTCCCACATCCAGTAAAAGAGTCCCTTTTTTGCAGAATCGAAAATCAATGAGGAAAAAAATACTATTTTTATAAAAAATAGAAAAATACCCAAATAATTAGAAAATATTAATCTACTTGGATTCTTGATCCTCCATGACTGACATTCTTCACCCCTTGAAATCTGATTGTCAAAACTTGCCAAAAATGCTCGAAAATTTTTAACCGCAAATTTAAATTGCCGAAACCCAGGCTCACACATTGATGACTTTCTTTTAGAACCCACTTTTAAATTTGTCGACGATGAAATTTGAATCCAGCGCTATGGTATCTTGTATTAAGATCCATTCTACTATACTAAAACTCGGGAGTTGTAATGAGGGTTGAGGTTTTGCACATACTCAACTGTATTATTAAAGCTAGATCTATTCCCGCAAGCAAGTGCACATTATCAAAATGATCATAACTAAGTACATAAGAATATACATGTGATTCATATGTTCCTGTTGAATTTGCTGATATGAAGGAAAGTCTCTCAGCAAGTCAGCAGTTTTGCTGAAGCATTTACGGAGATCTGGCATCAAAAAGTTACATTCTCATGGCTGACATAAAACGTCTCCTACTTGACCATATGGCTGTCATAAGCAATCCTACGGATATCTTCACAACTAATGAAGAGTTGAAGTGAAGTCTAGCAATCCATAGGTTTTACTTCT